AATAACCGCCAAATATCGTGTGTGGGTAGAGCAAACTAAACTGAGTCGAAAAGTCATATACTATTTTGCAATTTTCGCAATAATTAACAAGATATTAATTATTAAAAATCATCGAATATTGATTTTTAATCATTTTTTTACTCAAGTACTCTCTCTATGAACTTTACAGAAAAACATTAAGAGGAAAATTGTTATTTTCTTTTTATAGAGCTGTAAGAATTTTTTCAGAATTTTTTGTCAACTTTTTAGTACTGCATTATTGGCAACTATTTTTATCGACATGAGAAAATGCACTAAAAAATTCTGAAAAAATTCTCAGAACTTTATGAGAAGAAAATAAACAATTTTTGTCACTTGTTTTTCTGTAAAATTGATATATAGTACTTCAGTAAAAAAATATTAAAAATCAATATTCAGCGATGTTTAATAATTAATATCTTGTTAACTATTGCGAAAATTGTAAAATGGTAGAGAACTTTTCGACAATTTTATAAATATTTGGCGATCATTCTGTCTGGGTCACCCTGTAATACAATGTCATTAAGTTATAAAAGATACCTCAATTTATTTTAAATGTTGTATCATTTTAAACGGAACAAATTAAATTACAGTTTACGTGCTAATGTACAAAACTCTCGGAATGTCGGAAATAAGCAAGAGTTCATCGTATGGTACAGAGGATACAAAAAAGGACAAATAATTTCAAAGCAATTGCTTTATGAGAGATGATTCCCATAAAAAAAAATAGAAATGTCAAAACAAGGATCGAAGAAACAGATTATATGATTATACGATTTGGACAAGAAGAGTGACAAGAAAGAAGATTGGAAAAGAATAGATACGTATATATTTGATTTATACTCTTGTGTAATCCATTCAGTGCGCGCAAGCGCACGTGCAACAAATGCGTTTTCTGTATGGATTAAATATGTAACACATAGACTTATACATACTCAATATACAGAGTATTCCGAAATTCACGAATAAAAATACAACATTAAGAAAGTTTCCAAAAAATTAAGTAAAAACAGTTATTTGTAAATTTGTATTTTAAACAATAGTTTTGTGAAATAATAAGAGTTTAAATATGACCAATTGCAGATTACGCTGAAGAACATTTTGAACGCTGAAGTGCACGTTTATTAATAGTGTTTTTCCTTGAGATGCACTGGGTGGAGTCTTCCTGCTCCCGGTTAAGTTTCATTTTCAAATTTTAAATGTCACACTGGCTCTACACCATCCCTTTGTTGAGGCAGTAGCAAAATCTCACTTCGTGCATAAAACTTGCACTACTGTAGCCACGGAAACACATCAAATGAGTTCGCCTACGATCAACCATGGAAACATGCTACACTGTCTAATAGCATTTCCTACTGGAAAATTAGTGCAACACTAGTGCATACTGAATGCAACTTTATTGTTCCACTGTGAAAACCAGTTTACATATTTTCACTGTTTAATGTTCCATTGATAAAACTGGTACAAAAACTTGCACTGAGTTCAACTTTTTTTCCATCGTCTTTGAAGTGGAGACTAGTGCAAATTGAAATTGAGATTGTGCTAAGGTATGATATTACGTTACGATAGGATATTACATTATTCTAATTAATACAATGACATTGTGTTACTTTTGATGTTTCTAATAATAGCTACGCAATGATATTTTGACGTTTAAAACTCTTGAAACGTAAAAAATTAATTTAAAAAAATGTTTTAAATAAATAAATGAATCAGAATATTATAATAAAATAAATAATTTAAGTTTGACATAGTTATATATATATTTATTTATAAAATGGATATCTTATGATATATTCCATTGAATCGCACTAAACCTGCACTATTACTGCGCTATTAATGCAGTTTTCATCGAAATCTAGTACAACACTGGTGTTACACCAGTTTTCTCAGTGGAAAACGCTATAAGTGTTGCATTAGTGTAGCCAAGGAAAAACACTATAATGGTACCATATACTCGATTTGTGGACAAGTGTAAATATAAACTGTAATTGGTTACATTTAAAATCTTATAGATCTCAAAAATTACTGCTTAAAATAAAAATTGTATACATAACTTTTTTATTTAATTTTTCTAAAATTTTCTTGTGATATTTTGATTCGCAAATTCCAGGACACTCTGTATATACATACACATATACGTGTGTGTATATGTGTGTATGTGTGTATGTGTGTGCGTGCGTGCGTGCGTGTGGTGTGTGTGTGTGTGT